GTAATTTATCAATCATGGAGGACGATCATGATATCAGTATCAGCTAGCTAACTGCTAACTGAATTTACTGGATGTCAGATTTAAGGCAGACGTCACAGAGCCTGAAATGTCTTCTTCTGGGTCTTACTACGATCTGAAGGTTGTCTCAGTGTAAATCTCTCAGTTCAGGACCTGGGCTGACCCTCAGAGTTAGCCTTTGTTTGGCAGACGCCTTGGCCCCCTTTAATCTTGTGAAGAGATAAATCCTTTGATGGACCTGGCCTGACTCAGTTGAAAGTGCTGCCCAGCCATCTCCATAGATCAACGTAATACGGCATGTTTGATGTTGGGGGGCTGTGGCACACGGGTGGGCTCTTTCTCCACGACCTATAACAGAGTCATCAATCCCAGGCCACGACCGCAGACCCCACCACCTCTCCACGCCTCCTGTCCCCTCCTCCTCCTCCTCCTCCTCTTCCTCCTACTCCTCCTCTAACCGTGGACTACAACCAGCCCTGCCCTCTTGACCACAGAGCACTAACACTCAACCAGGATAAGCATATCTATCTGTGTCAGACACAAACAGGCAAACTTTTGACACACAGACACATTCCATTCAATATAGTTGCCCCTTTTAAACAGACATTTAACATTTTGGGAAATGCACATATTCACTTTCTTGCACCGAGTTAGAAAGTTAGTTGCCTGGTAACCTCACTGACAGCAAGACTTCAGGAAGTCACTGCTCCTGGCCAAGAAATAGTCAGGCACATAACCCCCCGGTAAAACCACAATGTGTCATTTTTACACTTAAGCTAAGCTAACCTGCTTGTGGCTCCATATTTATGTGAATGAGATTAATCTTGTCATGTAAATCTCAGCAAGAAAGCAAGTGTATTTCCCAAAGATCAGCGCAAATGATTTCTTCATAATTTTCTTCTGAGGCTGTTGACTCATCAGCACTCCCTGGATACAATTAAAATACACATTGTTCTTCATGTCTGTCACTGAACTTACTACCCATTATTTTCACTCTCATGAAAGAGAATGATGCTTTCCACTGAGTACATCACTGGGCTATATAAGTGTCAACCGAAAGCCTGTGATTAAACTGAGGTGAACTTCAGGGAGCTCTTTTGATTCCTCTGATAAGACCCCGGTCCCATTAAGACGTCCCGTCCCTGTGTGAGAGCTCAGCGCTGGCCTCACACACTCGCTCTTATCTAAATCCTTCATCAACACACACCTAATCTGACCATGGCTGCTAATGTTGATAGATTTGATTCTCCTCTGGGGAACATGGGATAATTCAGTGTCAAAAATCAAACAATGACAAAACATTTCATAATCCCAATGTATAGAGGATCAGGTATTATGTATTTGCTAAATTAAAAGTTTTTTTTAAATGTTTTAATTGTGCAGTATACTAATATGGTATAGTTTTCATGCTTAGGTGCAGTAGAAGCTAAGGCACTTTAGTAATACTGTCAGGCTTTCCTAGCCCTGTGTGTGTGTGTGACATGCATGTAAAGAGTATGTCCCAGCAAGACCAACTAAGGCAAGCAGCGACATTAGCACTCCTGAAATAGCTTGGCAGGTATTTTAATTGCTTTACCCTGCAATGGCTCAAAATGTTATTGCCGTATAAAAAAACAAAAGGGTGAAAAATTTCCCAGGAATACTAGAAACCATAATGACACGTCACTGATGGGAGTTTCTCCCAGTGACTGTTAAATTCCAAGATTTTAATAAAACGATAAATACTGAGATGACTAAATTGTATTTCCCCATTGTCGTCTCTAATCTTCGCCCTGTTCCTTCCACATTCTATCCTCTCACCTTAATCCCATTTTTCTTTCAAACCTCTCCTCTCATTATTAAACATTACACTACTCTACAATGCTTTATCCTTGCTACAGTATTGTGTCTCTACCTCTTCAGGGAGGGAGGGAAAATTTATGATGCATGTTGGCATGTTTGTCTTTAATCATTGTGAAGTAATAGCAGAGTCATGCGCATGAAGCCTCACAATGAGGTGCTGAAGCACTTCATGAGTAGGAAACTTCACACAAACACAGGAAGCTCAGTGTTTCTCACCGAGGGCAGGAGTCTTTGCTGCGGCGCTGCAGAGACTGATGGGCTGTTCAGATTAACTGGGGCCAAAGAACCTGCAGTTCCTACACTTTATTGTTGCCCAAACTGTCTACAGAAAGGCATCAGATCATAGATCTGCAGGGTATGGTGTTGTTATCCCAAGCTAAATGTTAAATGTATATATATTGTATAACATTGTGGTTTTGAATATTGGCTACACTTTCCCTGAACAGAAAGAAAGTGAAAGAATAAAAAAATCATTGGCCATTTTAGAAGGACGAGCAAATTAAAATGAATAGATATAGAATAGAAAATGAAGACATAGAATGACCTAAAGATTAATCATCACCAGTGCTGTGCTTGTATATATCATTACCTTAACCTGGATGAGTGAATAAAATCCTTAAAGAGTCCATATCATATATCATCAGGCACTTCTAACCTGTGTCAGTTACAGTATTTCAGAAATAAAACACACAGCCTCAGCTTTCAAGGTAAGTATACACTCAGGACTGATATTATGAAGTACATCCACCCAGGGGCTTTATAAACATCACTTACTTTGTGTTTTTTGTGCACTGCAGAATGTAGGAAACGTGCTGAACAGTGCAGATTTGAGGTCCAACAGGGACCTCTAGTGTTGAAGACATGCTATGTTGTTGACAAGATGTGTTCATATGCCATAAATGTATTATATGATATTTAATTCAATTTATACCAATTTAATTTAATTATGTATGTGATGTATTCTGTACAGGACTGGTGGTGTTGGGGGTTGGAGGAGAGCCTCTTTTGCAACTTATAATTTTTGTCTGACATTTGCAACAATAAGATTTGGCTGCAAGTTTCCCATTATATAGGGAATTAATTTTATACACATGCTGATTATTACCATCTTTTTTAATGCTAACTTTAGTTGTTACAACTATATTTGGTATCACAAGGTTCACTAATAATTAACTAATATACTGAAATGATCAGATGGTCAGATTAGTAACATCTGAATTACACAACTTTATAATGTCTCCACTCAGCAGGTTTATGAATTAGAGGACAAGATATATACTCTATTGTGACAACTCTGGCAATGATGTCTTACTGACCTGAAATAACTATTATACTATACTATATTATTTTTGTAACCATGTAAAAACAATGTAATAAAACTAAATAATATTGGTACATTTGACAAAGCTCAGCTCACTTCTGGAAAAGTCAGTGGGATTAGAAAAGTAAATTTACCCGAGATAAAGAGGCACATTACATTAGATTAGTAGTGCTATCGAGCTGTCACTCTGCAGGTTTTCATTTCATTCAGATCTTGTGCAGATGTTACTGATTAATTCCCTGTTCTCTGGCTGAAGGTGTGCAAATCGATTGTTAGAACATGGCTGTGAGCTACTGAGCCAAATGTCTTCCTCTGGTAGCAGCTACCAATATTATTTCCTGTGAAAGTCAGAGCGTGATTGTGATTATGAACATGTCAGTTAATTACAAGACATTGAGGCAGGAAGAAGAGCATCTTTGTAAAATGGGGCTGAGAGGTCGTCAGGAGTATGGTTGGATTATCAATTAGGCAAAGCAGCCAACTGCCCTGCTTTGAGGCCCCAGTAGAAGTTCACTGTCAGTCAGTTTGTGCTCATTTGGTTAATTCCAATTCACCGTTGCCATTTTCTCTACTGAATTCAGTCAAACTGGTCTTGGATTGGATACCCAATCATGTGGTTTTGTGCAGTCTTGTGGCCTCAGTCTAGTTTTAAGGATTAGTTTAAATTGTGCTCCCATGGTGTCTAATCTAAAATAAATTTGTCTTTTTCATATGAACATATATTAGCACACAGAAAACCTGATTTTTTTCCTGCAGGTTGGTTGTTTTTCTGGGTCTAGTATGAAGAAGCTGCTGTGGGCTGCTTGCACTGTACTTGAACATGGCAACAGGATAACGGGGGTCAACAAAGGCCCAGTCAATGGGGGCCCAGGAATTTTGTCTTGTTCTCCCAGGGCCACACATTTTGTCTGGGCTGCATTTGTGCTTCATTTTAACTTTTCAAACATTATTTTGGGACTTTTTAGGAATTTAAAATCTTATTTTAAATGTGACTCTTTGAGATACTTCCCTCTGGCAGGAGGCTGCGGTCCATCAGGACCAAAACCTCTCGCCACAAAAACAGTTTCTTCCCATCTGCAGCTGGCCTGGCTTTATTAACAAGGGCCCGGTACCCCTTTGTCACCTGACTCTTATACACCACCCTGTTTTATACACGTATGCATTACATTTAATGCACCCCCATCTTCTGCACCAGTTTTTCTTTTCTTATCTTTCTTATTTTAATCTATTTTATATTTGAAAAGTACTTTATTTTTCTGTGTTGGTTTCTTGTGATTTCTATTTGTATATTGTATTGTATATTTTAATGCAACCAATTGCACCAGGCCACATTCTTTCGTAAGGTGTAAAGAATTACTTGGCAATAAACATCATTTTGATTTCTGATTCTGAGTTCAAAACACGTTAGAGATTTTAAATCCTCAGTCCAAATGGCCAAGCCTGATTATTCCTCCAAACCTTGCGCCTCCAGAGTTTTCATCAAAACATGCACAGGCTACTGCGCTGTACGCCTAAACACCACTTAGATGGCAAATTTAATGGGGTTATGGCCAAAACGCAACACGCAGTGCAGTCAACAGACAGATGGCGGCAATTGCTGCAGAGAATGCTGACTTGTGCGGTTCAGAAATGATCTTTTTCTCAAACAAACCGAGTCGGGCCCCACTGATTGTCCACGCCCATTGATCAATTTGTGCATATAACTGTGTGGTTGTGTTT